GTGGGCCCAAGCCAGCAGGTGGTCATCCCCTGAGGGGTCCCAAACTGTGAGAGGGCACAGGCCGGGCTGAGGGATCCCCCCCTTTTCCCCCCGAGTGCACAAATTTTTGTGCACCAGGCCTCTAGTGAGAATATAAAGGGCTCTTTTAGAGACCACTCAGCATTTGGCTTGCCTCATTCTTCTTGGTGATGCATTGCACTCTTTTTTACGGATGCCTCTAATTTACGTGAGCAGATCCAGATCCCTTCTGGTAGAAATATAGGTTATTCTTTTAGTATTAAAAATTACACTGCTGCGAACATGTCTAAAATATCTAAAATATAAGAAAACAAATAAGTAAACACACTATTTTGTGTGTGTACACACAGGCACACAAAACAGCTTGTATATTTATAAGATAAATTCCTAGAACTGAAATTGCTGAGTTAAAGTTACATGCATTTTCATGTTACATTCCCTGAACAATGTATGAAGGAACTTCTTCGTAATAGTTGGCTCAAAACTTACATCTTTGCTAGTCTGCAAGATGGAAAATGGGTCCCCTAGTTTTAGTGTCCCTTTTTACATTATAAGCAAAGCAAACAGTCTGCTGTGTTTATGGCCCTGTGGTTGTTGTGTGAGCTGGTCACTCATGTCCTTTGGCCTTTCATTTGCTGCCGGTGGTGTTTTACTAGTTTGGTCTGTGATAGGACTTACTAAAAATTTTTCCCAGTTTATATTTCTATTATTTAATTTTGGTTTTGGTTGTTTTGGTCTTGTTCAATTTTTTTATTTTCATGTACTCTAATTTATCAATCTGTATGACTGGATTTCCTGACAAACTTAAGAAGGCCTTTCTATTTCATTATTTTAAAAATTTTCCTTTCTAAAATTTTCTTTCATGGTTTCTTTTCTTTTCCTTTCTTCTTTCTTAACGTTGAGTTTTTTAGTCATCTGGAATTAGTCTTCATGGAAGTAATGTGGTAGGAATCACCTTGGTTTTTCCCGGAGGCTGCTCGGTTGTCACAGCATCATTTATTGAATTACCTTCCTTTTGCCCACCGATACTTAGTGTCTCCATTGTCATTATTTACTGAATTAGCATTTGGGCCTCTTTTTAGACTCTGCTCTGGGCTCATTGATCTTTTAGTTTATTTATGTGCTAATGCTACAATTTTTTTTCTTAATGAAATTTAACTTTCATTTTTTTTTCTTTTTTTAAAAATATTTTTATTGGTTTCAGAGAGGAAGGGAGAGGGAGAGAGAGATAGAAACATCAGTGATGAGAGAGAATCATTGATCAGCTGCCTCCTGCACGCCTCTTACTGGGGATCAAGCCTACAACATGGGCCCTTGACTAGAATTGAACCTGGGACCCTTCACGGAGCCAAATCAGCTAGGGTGAATGCTACACACTTTTAATTCCACCAACTTTATTTTTTGTTCTCTTATAAAATTAGTCCTCTCTCATTTCTCTTTTTCAGGATGTTTTTGGCTTTTCAAAAGAATTAGTTTCTTAATCTGTAAAATGGGAATAATAACATTCACCTCAGTATCTGCTATCATTCATGTAAAGCATTTTCTTAGTTTACTGTTGATTAATAATAAAGTTATTGCTTGGTATTATTACTATGGTAGTGCAAAAAAAAGCAAAAAAAAATTTAAGGTCCTTTTATGCAGACCCTCTGTCTAACTTCCGTATTTTGGTTTTGACCACTTTCTTCAAAGGGCCCAACCACATGCCCATGCAGGGGCCTGGGCCCAGCCAGCTCAACCTGACCAGCAGCTCCATGAGCATGCCCGCCAGCAGCCACGGCTCCATGGGCGGCTACAGCCACGCCGTGCCGTCCTCCCAGAGCGTGCCCGTGCAGAGCCAGATGACCATGAGCCAGGGCCAGCCCATGGGGAACTACGGCCCCCGACCAAACATGAACATGCAGCCCAACCAAGGTAACGAGCTGTGTGTCCCTCTCACCGCGGGCGGCATCAGCCTTGAAAAGAAAACAAAACTTCCAGGTTGTTAGCTGATGTGTGAAAATGTAAGTTGCATGTCAGTAGCCAATAAAAGGAATGTTGAGTTTGACATCAGCTTAAAATACTCTTTTATTTTTTACATTTAGAAGTTAAGTTGCTTAATTTAACTTTTTATGTAAGCTTATTTGTTTTTATGTCTTTGATAGTTTATTTGAGATACTGTATTTTTGGATTTTTAAAAAAAAGTTAATCAATGAATAACTTGAACGCTAATCAATGAAAGCTTTAGAGCTAGAAAATAGAATTTTATTGTTGTAAGTACAACCCTTAACAATTCACCTACTCTTTGGTTCATTTTACCTGTGAAGGATATATTAATTTGTATGGATTTCCTTTGATTTACTGGATGTTTTCTGATGCCGAGTTTCAGGATGTAAAGGTAATTGTCATGTAATTTGTTACTACAGCGTTTAGTGGAGGTGCTGCTCTCTTCTTGCATTAGACTGGTGTGAAGTCTATTAGCGTTTATTACAGTCTCAGAGAATGGAATTGTTACCACGTTTCTCTTTTAAGTATTCTTGTGAATAATAGCTAGAAACCTGTAAGTGGCGCTCTGTTCTGCTAATTGCCGGTTAAACATGTGGCATATTGCCAGCCTAAAGCTTTCTCAATTATGAAATGTGGTGAGGTTACGAGTATAAGATAGATTTCATGTATTTGCAATAAAAATTTTCTAGATTTTGATTACGATAAGTCACTAAAGTGAATTCAGATAAAGGAAGTCAGTGTTAATCTTTGGTAATTCTTTGTGATGAAATAATATATTCTAAATTTTAAATATTAATACAAGATATTTTATGTAATTTTGATGAGGTATACTGAAAACAAAGGGAGACAAAGGTAAATTGTCCATGAGAGCACCTGCACAGAACTGGTGCTGGCTTCATTTCCCTCCCAAGTGCAGAGCCCGGACGGAGTGTGGCTCCTCTGGGTCAGGTGGGTCAGGGGGAGCTCCGCGGTCTCTCCGTCCAGCTGCAGCCGGGAGACGCACACAGTGGACAGCGATGCTGACAGCAGCCACAGCCCGGTTGACACACTTCTTAGAAACTAGCTGAGAAAAGTCAGAGTGTACTCACAAACGGGGGCTGCTGCAGTGTAGGCCGCTATGATGAAAGGTTTGAAGAAGAAAACAGTGCTAGCAGCAACGTGGGTGTCGGAGAATAGTTACTGTTTTTGGAGAAAGGAGTTGTATTCATAGGAATTGTTCATTTCAAACTTAAGAACCGACTATTCTTTTTTAAAAATGTCATCTTTTGTACTAATGTGATTAGTAGTTTTTTCTTTTACTATAATTGTTAACATTATTTTTTGCTTTGTTCCCATAATTTATGAATTTTGTAATAGAAAGAAGACTTCAGAAAAATGACTATCTAGGGATCTGATTTAAGGAAATATAAGTTACTTTTCAAAAGGATTAGGATGGAAATAAGTGAAGAAATTTTCAATGTATTAAAAAATCTCTTCAGGAAAATAAAATACTTTTAGTTAAGTTTTGATATTTTAGAATCAAAGAAAAGTATAATTACAATAAAATTATACTAGGTTTTAGCATTGTCTACTCTCAATCATGAAGAAATAAGTGTAACTAAAATTCTTGATACTTACATTTTAATACTTTTTAATACATTCATGAGAATATTTCTAAAATTTTCATGTTATAAAAATATCTCTTTTAATGAACTGCCCCTATTTTTACTATGGAAAATCTATCATTGTTGTAAGTTTCTTTGGTTGCTTTGAAATTCAGCTAAGTTGTACTTGCAGTGACTTTACTAAGCTTTTAAGAGTTTTCTTAGTTACTTGGCTCTTGTTTTTTATTTTTGTTTTTGTATTTATAAATGTCTTATTATAATTGTGTGTTTGGGGGGTTATCCTATAAAATAAAAGCCCAATATGCTAAGTGTCCGACTGTTCGTTCGACCAGTCGCTATGATATGCACTGACCACCAGGGGGCAGGCGCTCCGACCAGTAGGTTAAGCTTGCTGCTGGGGTCTGGCCAATCAGGACTGGGCGAGACAGGCTGGACATGCCCTGGAGCCAACCTCCTGCGGTCCTTCCTGGCCGGCTAATCTCCCACAATCCCTTCCCGGCCTCTAAAATATTACTTCTCATTAATTTCCTTCCAATGTGCATGAATCCGTGCACCGGGCCTCTAGTATGACAAAAAGATTTTTGTATTTCTCCTAAGATGTTAATATTATATGAACAAGATCATGTGCATGTTTTGTGTTTCCCCAGGTCCAATGATGCACCAGCAGCCTCCTTCCCAGCAGTACAACATGCCCCAGGGTGGTGGGCAGCACTACCAGGGCCAGCAGCCGCCCATGGGGATGATGGGCCAGGTCAGCCAAGGCAGTCACATGATGGGCCAGAGGCAGATGCCGCCCTACAGACCGCCCCAGCAGGGTAAGGGCCCCGCTGGGAATGGCCGTGTCATAGAAATAACAGTTGGGAAGCTTTCCATTTAGTGAACTTTTCATCCAGGCAAAGTTAGGGCTTGTATTTCTAGACGGGAGGCCCGGTGCACACATTTGTGCACAGGTGGGGTTCCTTGGCCTGGCCAGCAAGCAGGCCTGATCGGGGCTGTCTCGCCCAGTCCCACTCTGGGCCGATCGGGGCCGGCCAGCCTCGGGGAGGGACCATGGGAGGTTGGCTGTGGGAGCGCACTGACCACCAGGGGGCAGCTCCTGCATTGAGCGTCTGCCCCCTGGTGGTCAGTGTGCATCATAGCGACTGGTTGACCGGTTGTTCGGTCGACTGGTCATAACGGTCACTTAGGCTTTTTTATTTATATATATATAAATTAAAAAAATAAAAAAAACACCACTGTATATTTTTTTCCTGAGAGGTAGTGGATACAGTAGGTACAAAGGGTTACAAATTGGGTAGGAACTTCCTGGTATTCAGCTTTCCTTTAATCTTTTCTGGGAAAAGATTACATCATAAAGTTTTGTATCAAAAGCTCATTTACAGCAGAAAATACTATTTTATTGTTGAGAATGTACTAAATTGTATGGTCAGAAACAAACCCTAATTTATTTTAAACTGCTGTAATGTCAAAATAAAAAGGAAATTAATTTTCTACTAGTTTGACACTTTTTAAGAAGTTAGTGTTTGTATTTTTGAGTTGGTATTGCTTGATACTGCATGCATGGCCTGAGCATTAGTTGTTGTGAAGTGTGTGGTGCTGGCTGTGTGTCTGTGTGTGTGCATAGAATAGTTAGAAGGATATGAACACCAAAACTTGGGAGGGGCCTCGACAGCGGAGGAACGGACTCCGGGACCTGAGGTCAGGAAGAAGCCCTTGGTGCCCGAGAACCGATCGCTGACGTCTCGCCCTGTTGTGGTTGCAGGTCCGCCCCAGCAGTACTCGGGCCAGGAGGACTATTACGCGGACCAGTACAGCCACGGCGGACAGGGGCCTCCGGAAGGCATGAGCCAGCAGTATTACCCCGATGGTAATCCCCCCGACGCGTGCTCCCCGTGTCTGTCCCTGCCCGCGTCGCTGTAGGAGGCCACCCGACACCGTGTGTGGCCGAGGAAACGCGTGGTGTGCTGCGTCCACACTCAGCACCAGTAGTCTCGGCGTCAGCGGCCGCCGGGCCTCGCCTGTCTCAGCGTCTGTCTCGTGTGGATGTCCCGCAGCAGTGCCGTCGGGCCGCGCTCTGTTAGTGCCGTCCTTCCGTGAAGGAGGATCCTTTTATGTTTGAGTCGTTCCTTTGAACCCAAACTGACGTTATCGATTTACCTTTTTAAACAACAGCTTTATTGAGATAGTTCATATACCAGAAAGTGCACCGACTGGTTTACGTTTATGCATTGTATACTGTAAGTGCATAGACTTCCTCAAGTTTTTTTCTGTTTCGTCATTTTAGTTGATTTTGCGTGCTTCTTAAAGAACTATGGTTTGTATACAGTAGCATTGGCATTGAGGAACCATTTGGAGGCTAAATTATACCCAGAATATAGTTGTATATAGAGTTAGTGGAAAAGGAAAGGTATTTAGAAAACAAGTTCATTTTAGGTATTTAGTTCAATGGAGTACTTGTTAGTTGGAGGCGGCGTTGGAGTGGCTGGTAGAGGTGGCCGCTCCTGCCGGTCGGGTGGTAAGGGGGAGGGAGTCCACACAGACGCGGGTCCCGCAGCGGGGCTCCCACGTCACAGAGCCGTGGGTCTTGTCAGCCAAGGGTTTGCGAAGTCCTCACTGACGTAGTCCGCTCCCGGGGTGGATTCGAGGAAAACGCTTCAAAAGAGAAGCTAGGGAAGCTAAGGGTTACAGCTGGAGGGTCGGGACCATGAACTGGAAGCCGATGCAAACGAGCAAGAAGATACAACTTGGTGTCTAAGAAATCATTTTGCCGCCATGTTTTATCAGAGTGAACCCTGAAGGCACGTGGTGGCAGGACGTGGGTCCCACGGCTGTGTGTGCAGGCCCCACAGCGCCCACCTGCAAGGCTGCCCGCAGCGCCTGTGGGTGCGGATACATGTGGTGATTCTGGTAGAAAGTGACTTTTTTTTTTTTTTTTTTTTAACCTCAGGGTTTCTTGCCCCAAATTATTCAGAGTGTTGTGGTTTTTAGTTTTACACGTAGACATTGTATTAAGTAATTTCTTAGACTATCGATATTTTAAAAAGGTGAAATCTAGGTTCTTAAATTTTATTAGGAAGTTTGCTGAATATTGATTGGTTTGTTTAACTTTTAAAATATATTTTAAGTAATTGAGTTGAATTTGGTACTGTTAGTTTGGTTGGCCCTGATGTTTGTCTGACATTTACATAGATTCTTTGCTCTATTTACAATGACTAATTCTCTTAGACGTCATTAGATATTTTCTTACTCTGTTTATTTTTTATTTTTAAAAAATATTTTTATTGATTTCATAGAGGAAGGGAGAAGGAGAGATAGAAACATCAATGATGAGAGAGAATCATTGATTGGCTGCCTCCTGCACACCCCCTACTGGGGATCCAGCCTGCAACCCAGGCATGTGCCCTATCCGGGAATCAAACCGTGACCTCCTGGTTCATAGAGAGATGCTCATCCACTGAGCCACCACGGCCGGCTCTGACTCTGTTTAGATATGTGTGCAGTAAACATGTCGATGGGGAGCTGGCAGACATTCTCTGTAAAGAGCCAGAGAGAAAGTCTTTTCGTCTTTGTTTGCCACATGCTATTGATCTCAACCACCGGACTCTTGTCGCAGCAGCAGAACAGCTATAGCTATAAGCAGGCAGGCGGGGTTAGACTGCAGGCCTGGTTTGCTGACCCTCAATTCAGATATTGATGAGATGGTGTAGGAACATGGGATCCTAGAGCCCTGAGTATGACACTTACTCATAACTGTGTTCCTCCTCCCTTAGTTAGGGAGTCCACTGAATTGTAGCTCAGACCTTCACCAGCCGAAAGGTTATTCCCTGCATTTCTTTGCAATTTGAGTCAAAGGACTGGAGTATCGATCTTCACTGAACTCCAGTCATCTTACAGGCGAAACTTATCGTGTCTTAAAAGGAAAGGTGTACTCCACTTAATACAGTATTAACTTCATCAAGGTGTATGTTTATGTTACCCTAGAAATATTTCCTGTGGGCTTCTAGAATGGCAGCATTAAGCATTATATTTTTGCATCTAGAAATATTTTGAGATACTGTATTTTATTCAAGTAAATAGAGTGTGAAAAATTTGTTTCATTTTTTTTCAGGGGAAGAAATTTATGGAGCTCTTTTGTATTTTACATTATTTAGCATATGCTATGGCATTGGCACCCAGAACTGGTGTTTGACAAAATATGATAATTGTTTCCTTTGTTTATTGGAATTTAATTCAAGTTATTTACATGTGAAAGGCCTAAATGCTTTCATTCTCTTTAAAAAAATGGAAGATAAAGTTTTTCTCTCTTCAAATGAGGATTATCAGAGTTAAGACTAAGGGTAATGTTTTTAAAACCACTGTTTTTTGCTTTTAAGAAAACTTGCAAGTTATCTCGATCTGAAAACAATCACGTTGGTAAATATTTGGCTAATGCAATTGAAATTATTTTTTATGTATTTCCATTTCTTTCTCTCTTTTTTTCAGTTTTATCTGAAAGTTTAAATATATTTAGGGTTTTCACTCAGTGGCCATTAACGTTTCTCCCTGTCTCTTGTCGAATTGATGTAGGTCATAATGATCACGGTTATCAGCAACCGTCGTATCCTGAGCAAGGCTACGATAGGCCTTACGAGGATTCCTCACAACATTACTACGAAGGAGGTATCGCTATACCTTCACACGCGCACACACACGCCCTCCCACAGGAACCCGCAGCCTTGCCCAGGCCTCCCGTGCACAGCTCCCGTAGAGCAGTAGCTGCTGCCTGTCCGGAGAGTTACAGGGAGCCCAGGCCCCCGAGTCACCTCCGTGCAGATCCTTACAATGTGTAACCACGACCCGCCATTTCTAACAACAGTAAAAGGACTAAAACAGTTACAAGTAGTCGCTTCCCCAGTGGAAGTTTTCTCTCTGAACACAAACCCAGCTCTCCAGTGTCGTGTGTGTGTCCCACATGTATGGTCTCCCTACCAGTGTAGTGCCGTAGGAAGCAGCTTGCTGACCTCGTGTAGCTAGCGTGTGCTCTCGTAGTGTCTTTAATTTTGTCTTTTTATTTTATTTAGCTTAGTCATGATCTATGACTGTGATGTTCCAGTCAATGTCATGCTCGTATGGCAGAGGCGCTGGAAATGCTGCAGTTGAACCTTGCAAATTGGCTTTAACTGCAGTGTGTTTGGCCGAAACCCTTCTGTTTGGTTTGAGTTTTTTCTTTGTTTTGTTAACTTTAAGAAATCAGTATGGCGTTTTATTTTGTTCTTGTGTTGTTGGCTCTGCATCTGGGAGGAAAGAGCTCGTCTAGCCAACTTCTCAGCCTCCCCTCTCCTCCCCTCCCTGCAGGAGGCTCGCAGTACGGCCAGCAGCAGGAGGCCTACCAGGGCCCGCCGCCCCCGCAGGGCTACGCGCCGCAGCAGCAGTACCCGGGCCAGCAGGGCTACGCCGGCCAGCAGCAGGCCTACGGTGAGCCGCCTCCGCCTCAGCTCCAGCGCATGGGTGTTTGCCATTTCTGAAAAGTCACAGCTCCGCCCCAGCCTAGCGGCGTCCAGATAAAGTGCTCTCAGACTAACTGCTAATCTATTTAAAAAGAAACAAACCAGAGATGATTCAGTTCCCACAGGCATGCCCTGGAGCGAGGCACAGGGCAAGACACAGGGACCCGGACCCGCTATGCTCACGGCCACCACCAGCTCTGCACCTGCCTGGACACCCGAGGGCGTGGATGTTCACTGCCCTTGTCTGCATAGTCCAGTGAGCAAGTCCGTTTCTACAGCTGGTGGCTGTTGTAACTGCTCTTAATTTTTGGAGGGCCCGCCAGACTGCTTTCCTGAGCGCTGGACCGGTTCCCACCAGCAGGGAGGGAGGGTCCCTCTCTCCACAGCCTCGCCACCTTGGGTATCGCCTGCCTTGTTGGTAACAGCCCTCCAGCAGCAGGAGGTGGTACCTCATTGTAGTTTTGATTTGCATTTTCCTGGTGGCTAGTGGATCATGCATCATAGAAATGTACACTTGAAGCCTATATGATCCTGTTAACTAATGTCACTCCAATAAATGTAATTAAAAAAACTAGTGACCATGACTGTGGAAGATAATACTGATTTTTAAAGTACAAACGTGGTCTGCTCAGAATGCATACAGAGGTGCTCTCTCATTTGCTCCCGGCGGCACCCACACCACAGGGCGCAGTGACTGCAGCTGTGTGTCCTGCGAGGTAGCTGATGGCGGCCTGTGAGGAACTGGGCTCGATCCGGAGTGGCAGTGACGAGGAGCCGAGACCTCAGCCTTCCGTCTCAGGCAACTGTAACGATGTTGGAAATAGGAGACTACAGTTTCAGGGAAAGCAGTAGCTGTTACTAATTTGACATCATCTAGCTAATATGGCCTCTTACATCAGTGATGTCTTCTTTTTGTTGATGGGTGTAAGCACTGCTGTCACTGCCGCACCTCCACTGTGACAGCAGACCTAGGAGCCGGGGTCGCAGGCCGCCCTCTGGCTCCTTCAGATGGCGCTGAAGCTCAGGCGGGTGTCGGGAGGCGGGCGTTTCCCCAACATGCCGAGGTCTGGCTTCTCCGTTTCACATGTGACTTCAGAATGTCCCAGGGATTTCCTGGTTTTACAGAGAGACGTTCTTACCCTTCTCAAATGGAAACATTTAATGGCCATGGAGTATTTGTACTTCGAATAAATAGTGGTCTGGTTTTATTATATTTGCATGAAACAAATACGTAGCTAAATCAGACACATGTATTGATTTGAGAGCGATAATTGTCTTCAGTGGGAAGAGAGGGTAAAGAAAGTTAAATGTTTTTGGTTCAAGTAGCTAACCATGGTTTTGTTAGATGTCAGGAACCCTTCCCATTTTGCTTATCCAGAGATTTCAGTTATCAAACTTTCTTCTAATAGAAAATTTAGAGTTTTAATAAGTGAACGTATAGCGACATAAGTAAAATAATAGGCAGATGTCATTTATTTAAGCCTGAAAATGTATTGTTCTCTTTGGCACTTTCCTCTGCAATTGATGTTCTCATGGCAGGTTTTGAAAGGCTGTGGTAGAAACGTGTAAGTACCAGACCTTTTTAGCTTCTGCTTTAGAAAGCATGCTTTGCAACAGATAATGGTAGTTTACGAAATAGACATATTTGTTAGGTCAGCCTAATTAGTCCCTTGTCATCTTTGACATTTGAAATCATGCACTTTTGTGGGTTAGGTGTTAAAGGTGGTGGGCACACAGAGTGTGGTCTTGGAGTCGGGCTGCCCACATGCCTCTACTTGGTCGGGGACACCGTGACAGTGAGCGCCTCAGAGCGGAGCAGAGCTCTCCTTTGGTGATTGCCAATATAAATCCAGATTCTAATGTAAGATCATTCCTTTTGATTCTCCTGGTTATTGCACGTACACATTAGAGTTATACAGCTGTAAATATCATGGTTCCCAAACTGTGCAGAAACAGTTCCAGGATTTTAGTTTGAATCTCGCCTTTTCTTTTATCTCTTGCTTATACTGGTTAACTTTCTCATAAAACAGCTGCTTTTATGAGCACTTCGAACACATCCAGGTGAACATTCTTAGCCTAGAATGAGCTGCCTTCCAACTCCTGAATCTCTTACTCATCCTGACATGCACATTTTTAACGGCTGATGCAGAACACAATCGTTACCCGGAATCAAAGCCCCGTACGGAGTGGCATCCTTAAATGGCTTTCACTCTTATTATAACCTTTGGAATTTATTTCAAAAAGCATTTGAGAAAATCAAGATTCCAAACTACCCTTTTCAGCTTAGATATAAAGTACAGCCCCCGTTGTAAACGCTTCTGGAGCTCTGGGAGTGATGTTCACCTGCGCTCTTGTTTATGCTGATTATTTTGCAGGTCCTTCCCAGGGCGGGCCAGGCCCTCAGTACCCGAACTACCCGCAGGGTCAAGGGCAGCAGTACGGGGGGTACAGGCCGACGCAGCCCGGACCACCTCAGCCCCCGCAGCAGAGGCCCTACGGATACGACCAGGTGGGTGACTGGCCAGCGTGTGACCCCTCGTTGCTTGCGCGTCCTTGGTTAGGTTAAACATTTTTACTTGAAGCTCATTTTTCCTTCTCCTGTTCATAACACACGAGTTGACCAACAAAACCCACTTTCTTTTAACTCTATTTCCTAGACTGCTGGACAGGGGACGGAGTACGCTGACATGGAACAGCCTTCTAGGCACCAGCGTTCGTTCAGATTCTCCTTCCCCTTCCCATCCTCACTGCTCTCCCACCACTCTTAACACCCTGGTCTCCCTTCTGTTCACGTTCCTGCTCACTGCCCCTGCCTCCGTCCCTGCCCCTGCCCACGGTCTCCGGGCGCGATGAGCTGTCTTCCCCGTGGCCTCTCCTTCCTCCGTCAGGTGGGCGGAGGCGTCGCTCTCACCGGGGCTCCCCGAGCCCGGTCTGTGGGCCCCTCCTCCCGGCCTCCGTCTGGGCCGGTCTCACTGTGCGAACCTTCTCAGACTCCGAATGACAATAGCGAGGACTTGTCATGTGGCCGCTTCTTGGGGTGGAGTTCAGGTTTGCGAGTGACTCTGGTCGGGACCATCCGGCCTGTGCGCCGCTGTGGGCGGGAGTCCGGGGTTCAGGGCCGCGGGGTGAGGAACAGCTCGTACGGTGCCCGTCAGAAACGGAGGCCTGAGCCTTCCTCCCTCCTCGTGCTCCAGCCCTTGGCTGACTCTTCCCGCTGAAGTGAGAGAGCAGAGGCCAGGAGGCCGCACTGAGGGGAGGACAGGGGCCGCACTGAGCTTTGCACTGAGTCAGGGCACAGGATGAGGGCGTGGACGGGGGCCGCACTGAGGGCGTGGACAGAGGCTGGCACTGAGGAAGGACACTCGAGTCACTCTTCCCCTCACCTGTGTTTCAGGATGAGCGCTGGCTAAATGTTGCTGAAATAACTACGTAAAGTACATCCGTGTTCTAAGTACTTGAATTCTGTTCAGAGTGCAATAGTCCATTAGGTAGCTAGTGGCATGGGACAGCTGTTCAAGTCAGTCCACTTTTGTGGAAATGTAAACTTTTGGGGTACGAGGTCCTGTGGGGCTCAGGCATTTCAACTCTCGATACTTTGTTGGTTTAAGTCGTTACTGGGAGTTGGCGGGGATGTAAGCAGGGAAGCAGCAGCTGGTTATGTTCTCTCCAGTGAGTTCTGTTTTTGGAAAGCAGGCGCTTTTGTGAGCACTTTAAACACATGTAAGACGTTTTTGTTGAAATACTAGTACATACTTTCTAGTATGTTCTCTTTTCTTTTACCTTTTTTCTTCTGTTTTACTTTCTCTCTAAAATGTGAACTCGGCAGTTGTATCCCGGACTCACCTGCCGGCATGGTGGGCCGTGGCCGCATCACCTGCTGGGTGTCTGTACTCTTCCTCGCCGGTCAGCCACCTGGCTTCCAAGTCCGCTTTGCTAACCGCAACAAAACAAATCAAACTGCCCTGGATTTTATGCACCGGCTGCCTCTCTGAGGCGCGTGGCCTCGGGGAAAGGCCACGTCTTCAGAAGGCTTTGTCCTTGACCTCCGGATACCTCTCACCCTGCACTTGTCCCACGTATCTTCCCTGTTAGTGCTTAATAGTAATTCGCTGTTAATTCTTAATAGTAATGATAATAAGCTATGATAATAATGATAATAGTAATGATAATAAGCTCAATAGTCACACGGTTGTCCCCCTGGCATCACATTTGTCTACTCAAAGAGATCACACCAGAATTTAGAACCAGAACTTCTCCCTCGTTGTCCAGATCAGTCCACCAAAATTCACCACACATTGAAACTTCACTGTGTGATAGGTACTGTTCCGTGGTCAGAGGCTCTGCAGTTCATTTGCAAGTGAATGTAATATCAGAAGAAATTACAGAGGTACTATGTACCGAAATACTAGCAATTTTTGTTATCAATGCAATAGCTTTTATAGTATGGCAATGTTAAGATTTATTTGTGATTTTCTTGCCCAACTATTATCTAATTGTATTTTAAAATTTATCTTTTAGGGACAGTATGGAAATTACCAGCAGTGAAAGTTCTCCCATTCCCGTGGCCAGCGCCTGCCAGCAGCCACACCCACGCAGCCCCGTGGACCCTCCGGGAAGAGCCCTTCCATTGCACCCCGTTTTTGGAGAAGCCTTGGGCTCAGGGGCCGTGTCACCAGTTGGCGGCCGTGTGGCTTAGTTGCGTAAAAGCCTTTAGTAGCTCAAAAATACTCTTCAATTCCCCATTTCTACTCTAGATGGCAACATTGGACAGAAAATAGGCCGCCACCAATTGCAGTGGTTCCGGGACTGTTTCAGATGGACTGTTACAGGCTGGGGGTGCGAGCAGCTTCGTATGTTTTGCAGGTTAAGGGAATTTAATACTTTTCCACAGACGCTTTTGTAAGGGGGAGGGAAATGTACACTTTCTACAGTTAGCAATATTTTGTATATTATGTTTATTTCATGTGGTGAACATGCAGGCGGTACACTACGCGTGGGGCAGAGTCCGCAGTCCTGCTCCTGAGGGTGGGGCATGTGGGCGCTTCATTGTGTGGGTCTCAGTGGTGAGGCTGCAAGTCCCGGGGGAAGGCCGGCCCGCCCGCCCGCCGTGGGTATCCTCGAGGAAGTCGGACCCCTTACCTGCTAGCTAATCAAGGGATGTAGTTTTGAGTAAAAAGACGTTTTTAAAGCTTTCCAGTTTTGTGGATTAAAACCTTTTTATAAAGATCACTTATAATACAGTTTTAAAATGTGAGGTAATAAGAATTCATGTGGGACCTGAAGAATCTTGGTAATAGTTTCAAGTAAATGGAATGGAATCCTCTCCTAAACCAGCAGTGAGTGGGAGTGGAGTGTTAGTTACCTTGTCAATCAGGGAAGTTAGTGAAAGCAAAGCATTTTATAAACGAGATCAAAGAGGGGTCAGCATTGATTCGGTCATTTTAACATCAGGTCAGTTGGTTTATATACTAGAATAGTTCAAGAGACTTACAAACCTTTATTTCAGCTTTTTGAACTGGAAATAATACCATTTATAAAGGGACACTTGATTCTCCCCTTTCTTATGTTGGTTAATATAACACAGAAAGGTGTGGAGGAAAATGCTTGCTGGTGAGGCTGGTTAGGATCTGGATTGGAAGTGTAGAGGGTGCGTCCAGCTCACGTTGCCCGCTCGCCTGGCATAGCTCGCAGATGGAGACGCCGGTGCCTGGTTGTTGAGCTCAGTGCAGGGATAGCGCATTAGGCAGGAGTCACGCATCGAGAGGTTTAAAACGAGTTATTTCAGCCAATCTGAACGCATCCAGCCCAAAGGTAAGTTGCTATTTCCACCACGGTTGCCCCTGCCCAGGGAACAAGATGTATTCTTGACCATAGAATTGGTTTTCCCACTTCCAACGGGAAGCGAAACGGAGGGAGGGCCGCTCATTTGACTGAAGCGGAACCTACTGTTCCGCACACTGTGGTCCGAGAAGGGACACCGGTGTCTCCGAGTACGAGTGTGCGTGTGGGTTCAGGTCAGGGCAGGTCTTATTCTCGGCGAGGCCAGTAGGAAGTGGACATCGAGTCTGAGCGAGACGGCGCGGACGGCCTGCCGGGTTGGGATGCGCGCGGTTCTGTGCCGGTTTCCACCACTGTGTACTTGGTTGCTATTTAAAACTGTACCAGCTCTAACGGAGGAATAAATTATTTGTGATTTTAATTTTCTCATTTGTTTCTTTAAATTAGATCTCTCTGACTGTTGTTTTGTCTGGAGACTCTGCTGTGGGTATTTTATAGAAGTGCGTCCAGTAGAAGCGGACTAGATTTGTATTCTAGGACTTGATCAAAATTCTCTTGCCATGCCCAAGTTAATTAGAATTAACTGTTCAGTAATCAGCATGTTGTGTGGGCTGTTTGTTACAGAATGCTTTCTCTGAAAATGAAGTCCATGAGGCGATCATCAGCATGACTGAATGAGATAAATGAGTTGAGGAGGCAAAACTGTACTAACCCAACCTGGTGTAGATATGTTATCGCATCTGAAGGAAGCTCAGCTGACATTAAGAAATAATTTGTCTTGCCAGCCCATCTTCTGTTGTCTTATTCTCCTTTTAATGGAAACTAAAATTGCAATTTTAATAAGCAGAATTTCCTCCAGGACTTTCTTCCTGGAGACTAGTGCATTTGCACGCTTTAATTGTTTTATAACAGTCTTATTCCGTAGAAGTTTTTAATTGGCGGTGACAAAAATTACCTTACTCCTTGGTGCCTGGCGGAAGAGCTGTACCCGTAGCTTTCTACCACATTTGACATTCCCGTACAGACAATACATTTTAAAACTGAAATTTGTATTTTATCAAGATGTGCATTATTATAATGAAGAGATTATTAGAACAGCCCCTAACATTCCAGAAGCAAAATATCACTGAGACATGCAGGGTGATTATTGAGCAACATTTAAAAATACTTCACTGTGTTAGTGTAGTTTGAGAATGCGTTAGTATTTTCTTGTAGAATTGTGGTGACACATTGTTTGTGGTTTTGTTTTAATTTCTTAATGGGAGTTTGAAAGAAAAAGCTAAGTGGAGAGAATGGTATAATGAGCCCATGTGCCAGTAACTCGACTTATCCGCTTAGCAACTCCTGGCCAGTCTTATGTTGCCTGTTCACCGACCCACCAATGGAAGAACACACTATGTCCTTTAGTTATTTCTGTAAGTATCTTTAAAAGACAAGGACTCTTAAAAAACACCTTGGTACTTAAGGACTCTTCCTGTTCCTGAAATTTTGTATTTTCAGTGTTAACACTGAGTTAGAAACCATCTCAGAAATTGTATGAATCACCGTCTTTTCTTTCAATTTAAAGTCTTCATAGTTAAGACATTAGCAAAAATAGATTATACAGAAAGCGAACATTCTCCATCATTTCATATCTCAAAGGTAATTATATTTCTTTCAACTTCATTTTACACATAGGAGCCAACATATATTATTGCTTTGTCTTTTAAAATAAAAATAGCATTATACTATCCATACTACTTTGCAACTTCCTTTTTTTTTAAAGTTAGAAATATCTTGAATGTTATTTATTCCTGTATTATTGTTCCTAATTTTTTTAAAAATATATTTTATTGATTTTTTACAGACAGGAAGGGAGAGAGAGAGAGAGAGAGAGTCAGAAACATCGATGAGAGAGAGACATCGATTAGCTGCCTCCTGCACATCCCCTACTGGGGATGTGCCCGCAACCCAGGTACATGCCTTTGACCGGAATTGAACCTGGGACCTTTCAGTCCGCAGGCCGACACTCTATCCACTGAGCCAAACCGGTTTCGGCTGTTCCTAATTTTTTTACTGCTGCAAAAACAAAGCTTTCCTAAGCTACCCGGGTAGGGTTTATTTTTCTTTACTTATTTCATTTGGTGTGCTTGTTGCGGTATTTCTGTATGATACATTTCTGTTGTGTTGGGAGTAGCGCTATATACATTTTTAAGCGTTCCTCTAAAACAGTGGTTCTCAACCTTCCTAATGCTGCGACCCTTTAATACAGTTCCTCATGTTGTGGTGACCCCCAACCATAAAATTATTTTCGTTGCTACTTCATAACCGTAATTTTGCTACTGTTATGAATCGTAATGTAAATATCTGATGTGCAGGATGTATTTTCATTGTTACAAATTGAACATAATTAAAGCATAGTGATTAAGCCCAAAACCAATATGTAATTATATATGCGTTTTCCGATGGTCTTAGGCGACCCCTGTGAAAGGGTCGTTTGACCGCCAAAGGGGTGGTGACCCACAGGTTGAGAACTGCTGCTCTAAAAGATACATCCTTGCCAACACCATAGGATTAGTCCTGTTAGTTTTTCAGTTCTTGCAGGCTTTAAAAAACGCTATTTCAGAATTTCATTTGAATTACATTTGGTTTATTTGTAAGTTTGAGCATCTTTTCAAATGCTTAATGATACTTTATTATTTTTTGCCCTGAAATACATTCAGTTTTTCTATTGGAATGTTTATTGTCTAAGAGAGAGGGGAGACAATAGAAGCACAATACACAAATACACATATAGTTACATGGGGTTTTCTCTGTATACGCATCAATCCCTTACCTCTTCTGTGTATGACAAGTCTCTTTTGTCTGTTTATTATTTTTTAACTTTGGCTGTGATGTTTAAGATTTTATGGAGCCAATTTCTTATTGCAACCTCCCTAGTTCCAAATGCATAAAAATATTTCCATATTTGCTTACACTTAAAAAAAATTATTGTACATGGTATGATTTAGAGCACTAACTTTTTCCCTAAATGGATAGAGGTGTTTCATAGCATTTATTGAATAAACCGATGATTAAGAATGCCAACTTATATATTTAAAACATCAACTACAGGTAAGGCATGTCTGATTGATGCCATTTTAAAGACTAGCTGGATTCATTTCAGTGTAATTTCATTTAATTGGCACAAAGGTGTGAGTTTTCCCCCCCGCAACAAGGTGTTTTTTTATTAGATAAGAGTTAACTGCAAGAACTATAAACAGTGACCGGCTTCTTAATAGCGAAGGATTGAAACGTAATTTTATGTAGAATGCCTAGAGCACCGTGGCGCTTTTTGTTTGTTGAAGATGTCAAGCTCTTTAATTTTTTTACCCTACTAATTATCTCCGCATCTGCCCCAATACCTCAATGTGGTTACTGTCAAAAAGTTAAGAAATCAATACCAGATCAGTTGATTGTTTAACACTTGAAGTTTCAGAAATAAACAATGCAACAGTTTTTATTAATTTAATAAAGACCTACAAATGGAGTGATCATGTAATTTACTGCTCAATCTGGGAAACTTGAGAATCAAAGGGGGATAGTACACACGTGTATATATGTGCATGTGTGTGAGATACTTTTCTGTAATGTGGTTAAATATGTATGTATGCTTTTATTTCTTCCCGATAGGAAGCCATAGTTTAAGAACTTCGTTATGTGAGTGATGCATTTATGTTTGCAGAGGCTGTAATCTTTCACTGTGATAACACACTGAGGGGTTTCTCACGAAACAGTGCGTTAAACATAATCATTTCAAGTTAAAATAGATGGTAATACAATCCTGGATATTCTGAGAGGTTTTTGTTACTTTGACCTCTGATTATTCCCTGATATAGTATTCTCTTTTAAAAATAATCTCCAAGGCCCTGGCTGGTTTGCTCAGTGGATAGAGCTTCAGCCTGTGGACTGACGGGTCCTGGGTTCGATTCCAGTCAAGGGCACATGCCCAGGTTGTGAGCTCAGTCCCGGTCTGGGCAGCCAATCAATGATTCTCTCTCACTGATGTTTTTTTGTCTCTCTCCCTTCCTCTCTGAAAAAAACTCAAAAACAAACAATAAAAATATATTAACAAAACATAAAAACAATTTCCCAGTTTTGGGCGGGCACATGGCTGGCTGCCTAGTGACCGCATTTTATAGGCCTTTGCTCTGAAACGGTGGTCATGGGACTGGAAGGTCAGCCAGTGAGAGGCAGCGTGTGCGGGCTCCTCCGTGGCACTGGGAGTGGCTCCCGCGTTGGCTCCTTCCCCGGGGGCGGGCACAGGGGTGAGAGAGAGAAAATGTGCCTTATAGCACGTGGTTCTGCACCTGTGGCAGCTCCCCCGGCTGTGGGCCGTGGACGGTGTGTCCGTGGGGAGCGTGTGCCGGCTGGGAGGGTGCTGGTACCGTGACCGTTGTCCACGCGGTTTCACCCGCATCTCTCTCCAGCCCTGACCCAGTGGCTCAGCACGGTCACAGGCTGAGGGCTGATGGCCGCAGCGGGACGCCAGGGGTACACGTGAGGTAAATGCAGAGGGAGGTGGGGC